ACTTGAGGAAAAATGACACACAGGACCTTGTTCCAAATTTTAGTAGAACTGATGGTTTTAAATGTAGTTTTTTTAACCGTGTTGTAGATGAATGGAATGGTTTACCCAATCATATTAGAGAATCAAACAGTATTGCAACTTTTAAAAGAAATGTGTTAAGCTTTATTAAGGATAACTAGAACATTCATATTTCTATTTGTATATATTTTTCTTATATGTTAATTAGTGGGGGCATCCCTAGTATGGCGCATTGGTGCTTTTGGTTGTCTCCTTCTCCACAACTTTTTTTTTTTCTTTTTTTGTTTGTTTGTTAAAGTAGTGTTAGCTTATTTCATTTCATTATTTGCTTGTTATGCAGTGGAGTGAATCTGTAATAAAGTATAAAGAATGGCTCCCCTAAACGCCCTGAACTAACTACAACAAAGCAGTCTGCTGGTGAGCTTCATGGCCCCGGAGAAATTGGTGGGACAGTCTTTTGAACCCACCATTACTGGATCAAATCGTTTGGTTCAAATCCCACCTTATAACGAACGTGCCAAGATATTTAATCGCATATTAGCTCGCTGGTTAAACATTTTAAACTAGACTTTCCCTCTCAGCAGGAAAACGATTCTGTTGTAAACATCAATGACTTGGCTGTTCAGGAAGATTCTCCTGACATTATAAAAAGCAATGCAGCCCGATGGCAGGCTTCAGAATAATTTCCAAGTTTCCTCGGCACAACAAGGAAGCCATTAGAAACCTTAACATTGAGGTTTTTCGGCATTTCCGTGAACCGCGAACGTCAAGACGACACGTGACCAGGGCCTTGCCGTCAGGTTTGCGGTTTGAGGTTCACGTTTGTACGGCTAGACCACGCTTCAAAGGTGAGTGATTTACCGCAAGGTTTTTTGCATCCTAAAACATCACAATCCCACGTTTGAGAAGAAATACGATTTTTTAGAATTTTTTTTGCATACTGATTATCGAGTTCTATTTCAAGACAATTTCTCAGCTAAAATAGAAGTAGTTGGATGAATGAAAACAAACATGGCCGCCGCAAGCTACCAACAGCGAATCTTAAGTCCCAAATATGGGCAGACGGGTAACGTGAAACCGTTAACCGCAAAACGCAGTTTGTCGTTTGCAGTAAAATGACCAAACCTCAATCTTAAGGTCTCTATTATCTAAATTTGACCGCCGTCAGACTATACCGAGTACTTTCGATCTAACGTGCATGCAGTGTTTACACCGCGCTTGGACTCTTACCTCTTACCTGTAAATTCTCATATGTTGAAATTTGTTTCATTATGTAATGATTTACGTAATAATTTGTTATCAAATCATACTGATGACACTTGATTAACCTTTGTAATCATTGCCTTGTATCATCATTAATAAAAATTGTAGTCCATAAATTTCAACTACATGTAGTCATGCAAATAAAGCTTATGTTCAAATGTTGGTGTTCAAACTTCTATAATCCAGTTCTTCTAAGTGAAAATGGCTGGCCTCCTGACTATTATCCAGAGATCGTTTCAGTTAGCAGGACATACTTTAGCAACAATTTCACAGAAACGCAGTGTGGCAGTCCTATCGAAAATAAAAAAAGCGGATTTCGCCAAAACAGGTAAAGACCTTCTTGGTAAAGGTTTGAGTCGCGCCTGAAGGAGCGTACAGGTACAGCTTAAGCAATATCGGAAGCTAAGAAAGTAGGGCACCAGTTTTTCCCCCAAACCGTCAACGTAACGCCCTTTCTTTAACATGTAGAGGGTCATGGAACAAGGGGCGATGGGGAATCCTCCAAGGTCGCTGGCAAACCAGAACCCGTCTGTACATAATAGAAAGCGATGCCTCAAGGGAAGCCTGGGGTGCCCTTTGCAATGGGGTGAGCACAGTCGGCCTATGGAGTCATTCCGAACATTTTCTTCACATAAACTGCTTGGAACTGCTCACAGGCTCTTTTGCAATTGAAGGAAAAATAATGTACTGTTGGCAGGAAGGTAAGGGATTTGCTGCAAGCGAAAGGTATTGACAGATTTCAATATAAGCTTCATTCAGTCCCTAGGGAATCCGCCTCTGCTGCTGCAAGGAGTGGGGTGGCTGTTCGCCACTTTGAGGTTGCACGAGAGACCGGGTCGAGATGGTTGTCAAGTGTATTGTGGCACTGTTTTGGGAACAAATTTGCCGCCTTGTTGAAAATGCGTCCCCAAAAACAGTCCCACAATGCACTTGCACCCCGTCTCCCGCGCAACCTCAAAGTGGCGAATATCCAACATTTCCGCCAGGCCTCCTGGTCATCTCACTCTACTTTCATGCATTTCTGTTATAGACCTATGCAGGAGCCGCCTGCGCTTCGCTGATTGTAAGTAGGTCAGTTCTATCAGCTCCCGAGGAAAGGAGTAGCCTGCCTTTGAACATGCATTGTTACATGGAGTAGAATGTTCAGAAGTATAATGTCAGATTATACAAGGAACGTTAGGTCCTGATGTACAAGATGGGAACGTGAGATGGAAGGAAATAATGCAATCCCACCCACGCCCTTTACCTCTCTGTTTAATGTTTTTATTGTTGTTGTTTGTTGTTGCTGTTTCTCTTTCTCTTTTTTTGCTTTTTTCTCTTTCAGGTTGACGCTTTTGAACTCGTATTTCCTTGTTTTCCTGCAAAATCACTGTATTTGGAGGGAAATAATCCTGTCAAGCGCTCATTTTCAATAACTGGAAAAAACGTGTGGAACCTAATTCCTTCCGACTGAAGAGATACTTCTAAATTCGTTTTTAACTGGCAAATTCCTGGATTTTTATTCTATACTTTTTTGGATAGGGACGACTATATGTTGAAGTCGATGCTTTAGTTCAAATACAACACCCAAGCTCTTCAAAATGTATATGTAACGTATTTAATAGATTAAACTGTTTTTAGCAAACCATTACGCAATGCAGGGTATCTAATTTTTGTTCTCTCCGAAAAGTTATTACATTTAGGTTTTCTTATATTTTCTTTCTTGTCCTCTTCGCCTCCGGCCACGATTAGCTTAAGCTCACGGCGGGTTGCATGAAAAATTTCCTTTCTCCTTTTTAGTTCACTGTAATTTATTAAATGTAAACTATTCAATGTGTAAAAAGGGTGGTGGTGTTGTTATAAGGATGGCATTGCATCGTTACCGTTGGTTTTATGTTTCTCGTATAATCGATCTTATACCCCAGGACAAATGGTGGGGAGTGGATTATTCTGCTTCTGTGTAAAGATAGGGCGATATAAGGATTCGCTGATTAGAGAAATGGATGGGGGTGAGGTTACCCTAATCTTTTTTGCGCATTCTTTTTCCGGATAGAAACAGAAAATTGAGCAAATGAATATGATAATTGCTCGAGTACAAGGTTTATTGTGATTAAAATTCCTGTTACAGTAAGAGCCCTAATTCTTAAGCACACCAGCAACTAAGACTATGAATAGAAAGTTACCACTACTGCCACAGTATTTCGTTCATTATTTCTTTACTGCTGCGAACACTTTTTGTGAGCTTAGAAGGTACAAGGACATCCTGCTGGAATCCGTAAACGTACGTTGCCTTTTATTCCATATAAGAAATCATACCACTTGTAAACATTTCCTTCCCCTGTCAAGCAGCATTTTGACAACTCATTGATGGTAGAACCTGGTAACACATACGACCACACATTAACATTTGCCAGTCTCCCAACAAACGACTGTGTTGAGTCGAAACCTCCGCCGACATCGTCCTGCTCTTGCCCAAGCATCAAGGAACCCTCAGCATTTATGGTGTAACCTTTCTTGAAGTCTACGCCTGATTTCACAAATACTCCATCTTTGTAGCTTTTCCATTCGCCCTTACTGTTTTCCCAAGTCACACATATCTGATGCCATTTGTTATCGTCTGCAGTTATGCCCACAGACCTGGGACAAAGATCAGGCGACATCAATAACTTATCATTCTTATAATCAGTGATATTACATCCCAAGATAAAGCTTACAACTAAATGGCAACAGTAAAAACATCAGAAATAAGTACGAATACCTCACTACAAATATACAAATATGCGAAAACATGCAATAAAAATTAAAAAAAAATTAAAGTAAATAAATAATGATAATAATAACCGCCGCCTGATTAGCTCAGTTTGGAGAGCGCCGGTCTATCGAAAGGGAGGTCGCGGGTTCAAACCCCAAAAGGACCAACATCCAGGCTCTTTAAACAACTGAGAAGAAAGTGCTGCCTCCGTAATGACATCTGCAAATGGTTATACTAATTTCTAGTCTTCTCGGATAAAGACGAAAAACCGTAGGTTCCGTCTCACAACACTTTCACTCATTTGTTCTTGTGGGACGTAAATGAGCCCGCATCACTATTCGAAAAGAGTAGGGGTGGAGGACCCGGTGGTGTGGCCAACCTTAACGGGTTGTGGGATTGGGTAGGGATGGCACCTCGCATGGGACCTAAGTCCCTTTCGTACACATTCCCTTTAGGTTGGTCTGTGTCCAGGTCTCCAGAACTAAATAAATAGAATAGATAAATAGACAATTTACAGTAACTCAGGCCGAAAAGGATTGGTCGGTAGAATTTAAAAGTTACGCAAGAATTGGCATTGCTCTCACCCTCTGACGGAATAAGGCTACATCCTTATTTTGAGAAAGGGAAAGGGATTGGTCGGCAGAATTTAAACGTTATGCAAGAATTGGCACTGCTCTCCCCTTCCGACGAAGCCACGTGTTTAAGACCTATGACCCTACCAGCGAGTTAATTGAACGGCGCAAACAATTCCTTCTGACGTTAATTCTCCCTTTTTTTGACTTTAAAACAATTAGAAGTAAAATTCGGGCGTGTCTGCAATGGAAATGCATTGTGTCCCTCTCTTAGTGCCTCAAACTACCAAGTTATATAAATGGCTATGGACCATATATGCGATGGGCCTTTACCCCACCAGGCAATAAACGCTGTATTGCTAGAGGAAAAATGTGGTGCTCTTTCGAGTGAATACAGTATTGCCTACTTACCTATGGTCATTACCAATATACAGGTGAACATCATCTGGATCGAAAATAAGCAACTCATTGTTTAGAGATTTCGTTGGCGCATAGCTGAATGGTGCTGAGTTTCCTGTTGCTGTCTTCATCCACAAACAAATCGTAAATTGTGTTAAACTGCGCATGCCCCAGATATTCACATAATCGGTAACGCCTTGCTTAGGGAACTCCAGGGAGTAATCTAGAGCACAACAAACACAGACAATAGGCTATTTCCGAGATGCCCCAAGCCTCTCTTTCAAAGCAAGGCTAAGTGCGTAGCAGAAACTATTGATATGAAAATGGTGTTTTAGTTTTATGCAAATATCGTTTTCACAGGAAATGTTTGGCACTTAGCCTCGTTTTGATAGTGAGAGTTCTTGAGCTCGGAAAAGGTAAAAACCTGCAAATACGATCCTTGTACATAATTAAGGGCCTGTTTACATGGAGGTGGGGGACCCCAGGTAGGTGAGGTAACCCGCTTAGGTGGGGTAACCCGCCTGTCCATACAATCTCTCCTTTTAATTTGATCACATTTACATGATAGGTGGGGTAACCCGTCACATGTTACCTCACCTACCTGGGGTCCCCACCTTCATGTAAACAGGCCCTACATTGAACAGTTACACTCCATATATAAGTGGTAGTTAATGTTTTATCACAGGTATTTTTTCTTTTTCTTTTGTTTCAACTTCATTCGCATACATTACCGTACCAAATGCAAAAGAAAAACAAAAATTACCTGAGATAAAAAACAAAAAAGCTAAAACTAAAACTAAAACATACACACTGAAGAATTTGTTTGGTCTAACATTTGAAATGTGTTCCTATATTTTCTTTTAAATCAAGTACATGCATATTATGTTCTCAAGGAAATGATAATTTTTTCTTATTGCAGTCAATCGGACATAAAATACTTAATTGGTATGAAAATTGTATAATTGACAGGAGGCTGTCGACATTTACAACTTATTCGCTAACGTTAAGTTTCAAAGCGATAAAGGATGCGCAATCATAATAATAAAACGAACCAGAGAGCCGTGACAGAGCCCCTACAAAGGGACTGGTGTGGAAAAAGCCTGAGAATGTTGTCAACATACCTTCCTGGCCCTTTACAAAGGAGCTGATGAAAGCAACAAAAATGCAAGCAGTCACCCGAAGCATGGCAAAAGTTTGGTCACCTACAAATGAGAAGGCAATTTCAATCAATGAATATTAATATTACTACCACTTTCGAGCTTCCGTGAAAGCATTCCTGTTTGTCTAGACAATCCTTTGCGGGTTGCATGAAAAATTTCCTTTCTCCTTTTTAGTTCACTGTAATTTATTAAATGTAAACTATTCAATGTGTAAAAAGGGTGGTGGTGTTGTTATAAGGATGGCATTGCATCGTTACCGTTGGTTTTATGTTTCTCGTATAATCGATCTTATACCCCAGGACAAATGGTGGGGAGTGGATTATTCTGCTTCTGTGTAAAGATAGGGCGATATAAGGATTCGCTGATTAGAGAAATGGATGGGGGTGAGGTTACCCTAATCTTTTTTGCGCATTCTTTTTCCGGATAGAAACAGAAAATTGAGCAAATGAATATGATAATTGCTCGAGTACAAGGTTTATTGTGATTAAAATTCCTGTTACAGTAAGAGCCCTAATTCTTAAGCACACCAGCAACTAAGACTATGAATAGAAAGTTACCACTACTGCCACAGTATTTCGTTCATTATTTCTTTACTGCTGCGAACACTTTTTGTGAGCTTAGAAGGTACAAGGACATCCTGCTGGAATCCGTAAACGTACGTTGCCTTTTATTCCATATAAGAAATCATACCACTTGTAAACATTTCCTTCCCCTGTCAAGCAGCATTTTGACAACTCATTGATGGTAGAACCTGGTAACACATACGACCACACATTAACATTTGCCAGTCTCCCAACAAACGACTGTGTTGAGTCGAAACCTCCGCCGACATCGTCCTGCTCTTGCCCAAGCATCAAGGAACCCTCAGCATTTATGGTGTAACCTTTCTTGAAGTCTACGCCTGATTTCACAAATACTCCATCTTTGTAGCTTTTCCATTCGCCCTTACTGTTTTCCCAAGTCACACATATCTGATGCCATTTGTTATCGTCTGCAGTTATGCCCACAGACCTGGGACAAAGATCAGGCGACATCAATAACTTATCATTCTTATAATCAGTGATATTACATCCCAAGATAAAGCTTACAACTAAATGGCAACAGTAAAAACATCAGAAATAAGTACGAATACCTCACTACAAATATACAAATATGCGAAAACATGCAATAAAAATTAAAAAAAAATTAAAGTAAATAAATAATGATAATAATAACCGCCGCCTGATTAGCTCAGTTTGGAGAGCGCCGGTCTATCGAAAGGGAGGTCGCGGGTTCAAACCCCAAAAGGACCAACATCCAGGCTCTTTAAACAACTGAGAAGAAAGTGCTGCCTCCGTAATGACATCTGCAAATGGTTATACTAATTTCTAGTCTTCTCGGATAAAGACGAAAAACCGTAGGTTCCGTCTCACAACACTTTCACTCATTTGTTCTTGTGGGACGTAAATGAGCCCGCATCACTATTCGAAAAGAGTAGGGGTGGAGGACCCGGTGGTGTGGCCAACCTTAACGGGTTGTGGGATTGGGTAGGGATGGCACCTCGCATGGGACCTAAGTCCCTTTCGTACACATTCCCTTTAGGTTGGTCTGTGTCCAGGTCTCCAGAACTAAATAAATAGAATAGATAAATAGACAATTTACAGTAACTCAGGCCGAAAAGGATTGGTCGGTAGAATTTAAAAGTTACGCAAGAATTGGCATTGCTCTCACCCTCTGACGGAATAAGGCTACATCCTTATTTTGAGAAAGGGAAAGGGATTGGTCGGCAGAATTTAAACGTTATGCAAGAATTGGCACTGCTCTCCCCTTCCGACGAAGCCACGTGTTTAAGACCTATGACCCTACCAGCGAGTTAATTGAACGGCGCAAACAATTCCTTCTGACGTTAATTCTCCCTTTTTTTGACTTTAAAACAATTAGAAGTAAAATTCGGGCGTGTCTGCAATGGAAATGCATTGTGTCCCTCTCTTAGTGCCTCAAACTACCAAGTTATATAAATGGCTATGGACCATATATGCGATGGGCCTTTACCCCACCAGGCAATAAACGCTGTATTGCTAGAGGAAAAATGTGGTGCTCTTTCGAGTGAATACAGTATTGCCTACTTACCTATGGTCATTACCAATATACAGGTGAACATCATCTGGATCGAAAATAAGCAACTCATTGTTTAGAGATTTCGTTGGCGCATAGCTGAATGGTGCTGAGTTTCCTGTTGCTGTCTTCATCCACAAACAAATCGTAAATTGTGTTAAACTGCGCATGCCCCAGATATTCACATAATCGGTAACGCCTTGCTTAGGGAACTCCAGGGAGTAATCTAGAGCACAACAAACACACACAATAGGCTATTTCCGAGATGCCCCAAGCCTCTCTTTCAAAGTAAGGCTAAGTGCGTAGCAGAAACTATTGATATGAAAATGGTGTTTTAGTTTTATGCAAATATCGTTTTCACAGGAAATGTTTGGCACTTAGCCTCGTTTTGATAGTGAGAGTTCTTGAGCTCGGAAAAGGTAAAAACCTGCAAATACGATCCTTGTACATAATTAAGGGCCTGTTTACATGGAGGTGGGGGACCCCAGGTAGGTGAGGTAACCCGCTTAGGTGGGGTAACCCGCCTGTCCATACAATCTCTCCTTTTAATTTGATCACATTTACATGATAGGTGGGGTAACCCGTCACATGTTACCTCACCTACCTGGGGTCCCCCACCTTCATGTAAACAGGCCCTACATTGAACAGTTACACTCCATATATAAGTGGTAGTTAATGTTTTATCACAGGTATTTTTTCTTTTTCTTTTGTTTCAACTTCATTCGCATACATTACCATACCCAATGACAAAAGAAAAACAAAAATTACCTGAGATAAAAAACAAAAAAGCTAAAACTAAAACTAAAACATACACACTGAAGAATTTGTTTGGTCTAACATTTGAAATGTGTTCCTATATTTTCTTTTAAATCAAGTACATGCATATTATGTTCTCAAGGAAATGATAATTTTTTCTTATTGCAGTCAATCGGACATAAAATACTTAATTGGTATGAAAATTGTATAATTGACAGGAGGCTGTCGACATTTACAACTTATTCGCTAACGTTAAGTTTCAAAGCGATAAAGGATGCGCAATCATAATAATAAAACGAACCAGAGAGCCGTGACAGAGCCCCTACAAAGGGACTGGTGTGGAAAAAGCCTGAGAATGTTGACAACATACCTTCCTGGCCCTTTACAAAGGAGCTGATGAAAGCAACAAAAATGCAAGCAGTCACCCGAAGCATGGCAAAAGTTTGGTCACCTACAAATGAGAAGGCAATTTCAATCAATGAATATTAATATTACTACCACTTTCGAGCTTCCGTGAAAGCATTCCTGTTTGTCTAGACAATCCTTCGCGTTGGTCAGCCTGCGAAAATGTCGGGTTTTTACAGGTCTGTGTTTGTTTCTTGTTCTGCGCGCCAAACACGGCGGTTCCAAAAACAATGCGTCGGCGTTTTATTTTTGCGATGACGTAAAAAAAAAAATTCCTCAGACAGCAACCTTCGATGGTTTATTTCATCCAAGTACTTAGAGCATCCAGTGAACTGTTTTTTGACGACAGTCTACATATTCGTTTTGCAAGTTGTTCATTGTGCTGAGACTAAAGTCAACATAACTCCTCTGAGTTTTGTTGATTTAGTTTCGTCATTAAGATTTCGATGTTACTGTGAAACAAATTATAAACAATGAATTTTGAGTTTATTAAAACAGTAAATCGTTTGAGTGGGAAATATACGTATTCCTTTGTTTCTCGGGTGTTTATCTACCGTGTATGAAAAGCGAAAGAGAACACAAAAATTGATTAGAAATAAAATATGGGGTACAATTTAAGGCAATTCATTTTAAATAAGTTCAAAGGCGAAAAAATAAAGAAAGAATGTATATTTTCAACACTGTGGGCCTCTTTGTCATCTCAACGTGTGCTCAACAAACTTCTTTCTTGTAAGGAGAAAAAAACCGTTCCCTCTGAATTTTCACACACGTTTTCAAATAGAATAAAATTGCATTTTCAACGCTCTTTATTTACTGCAGATGATACCCAATTACCATGCTATATAACAGCTGTTCCTGTATTTCTAACCTCCAAAACAAGAACCTGAAATATCTCGATAACATTGTTAAAGAATTTCTTCAAGCTTCGACGGTAACTATTTGGCTAGAAGAGATAAAGCTTCTATGACTACTTTGGAAAAAATGTCAAGGCAGAAAATTAAAACCGCTATGTCATTATCACACTAGTCATGGCAATTTTCATCTTAAACAAATACAGCTGTTGAGACCATTTTGCAATTACTGAGGTTTCAAACCGTTCGTGATTTTATCCCAATATCTTGTTATTGCCCAAAATAATTAACCAATCCAATATCCTTGATGGAAGTCGGATGAAGAAAGATAGCACAAAATTCGAAAAACAATTTGAGAATAAATTTATCTCTCACTACCAGAGTAAATAGTCCTACCCCATTATTGCAACTCTCCAAAATATCTACAATTGGTTTCATCGTATAAAAATTGAAAACATCAAACAAATATTCCTCCAAAATGCTCTCATAAAAAAAACATTTTGTCACGAAAATATAGCATAAAACCTATGGATGGAAAAGTTTTGTTTTGTTTTCCTCTTCACTGTTCTTTTCATGCAATCCACCTTTTATTGCACTCACCAAGTACATGCGGAATATTGAAAAAAAAAAAGATATCTCAAGCTAAATGCAGTTAGTATATACACACTCAGTGATCTTAGGGTTTAAAGCAATCTGATTTGCTTCTATCTCAAACTATTGAACAATATTCACTTTCTAGCAATGGATAATGCGTCGAAGGTAAGAGAAGTCTTAAAGGAATTCGAAACATAATTGTTTTTCGTTTATTTAAGCTGAATTTTTTGTTCGATGTAATGTTAACAACTACTGCTTATTCGAAAAGAGAAAACCATTTTTTTAACCTAGCATTTGCGAACAAGAAAACAAAATTGCCCAAAAAATTTAAAGACGTAAAATTCTGCAAATATTTACCATAACTAGCGTTTGGATCTTTTTTATTTTTAGTTGGATATTGTAGGTATACCGAGTTAAACAGAATTATGCGAGGCGAAATAAAAGGAACGAAGTTTACTCACAAACCAAGCAAGAGAAATTCACGAACGGCAAAATAGCCAGCAAAATCTGATCATATTCAAAAAAGTAACATCAACTTTTTGCATTTTCCGAATAAGTAACATTTACCTCAAACTCTTGGTTTAATTCCCTACTTCTTCAGAACAGAGTAGCAAATGTAAATGATGCACTGAAGAGTAAGTGGCAATATTTGTAGTTTGTGACTTCAAAGGGCGTTTCCAATGATCTATCGTATCTTAATTAGGTGGGCTACTGCGTTTACAATGTACAGAGCCGCAAATGATCCCGAGAAAAGTAGAGGAATGGAATGGATAATCAACGGTGCTGAGTACTTGAATACCGTCGACTATCTCTCTTAACGAAAATCTCTTTAAAACGGAAACCTAGAATTGGTCCCTGTTGACTCTTTTCCTTTTGCAATAAAAAATGATATTGAAATCGCTACAGTAGTAAAAAAAAGTGGCAGCAATCCTGTCACCTGTTAGCAAGTCCAAGTTAGAAAAAGCAAGAGAAAGGAGAAGTAAGCATGTTAAGGCAGACCAGAAACAGGAAGACAGGAAGTTGTGGATTTCGGCTCCAAACGAGCTCGGAAGGCTGACACTAGTAAGACCGCAAAGTGTGTGATATGTAACGCAGATGATGAGAGCCACCTATACAGTTTCTGTACATTGAAAGCCGACAGAAACCTAAGACGTTTTGCCGGCGATTTGCAGGACTATTAGTCCGTGGGCCAGCCCGTGAACCCCCCCCCCCACCCCTAGGGGGATTTTGCAGACATATACCGTTTGAAAGCTTAGGGCAAGGAGATTCCAAATCGGGTATTTTTGCAGTTGTTAAGTTGCTGTACGAGGACCGAAATACCAGAGGGTACCCACACCATGGGTTTTAAAGAAAATGATAAAAAAAAATAAAGCAATAGATAAAGCAATATGAAATTGTGTCTTTTTACTTACTGCTGTCATCTCTACAGAAATTTGCATCCGGACACCGTATATAAGCACTAAACTAGGGTACTGGGCATGTCGTAAATTTTAGTAGGACAAAACCAAATACTGTTTTGTGAATACACCTAATTGCAATAAGGTTGTCATAGAATAAATCAAAAAGGAAAAAGGTAAATAGGAATTAATTAGCATGTAATTATCAGCTTGCAACACTCAGAACACAAAGGCTTATAGCTGAATATTAATCAAGTAATATGAGAGAAATCATTTGCATCAGTTTCTTGGTGTCATTCTAATGCAATTCGAGGCTGATTCATCTAGCGAATTTCAAACGTACACGAATTACAAAGGTAAATCGGATAACTACCAAAGAAATAATGGCTCCATTTTTTTCAATAAATATAGCCTGGGGTAAATTCGCCCTGAGTGCACAACACCATCTGATCACAATTTTCAAGCAACAAATCAGGGGCGTAGGCAGGACTTTTCATCGCAAGACGGTAAGGGGGTCCTCCGCCAGTTCGTCACCTGAGCCACAAACCAAGCTTCGTTTGTCAGGACATAACAGATTGGCGACTGAAAGTGCGACAACTGAGACATAACATTGCTCGCGTCAATTTACCTTTTTCCTTTTCGAATTGTGCGACTTCTGTTGATGGAGAATGTTGGCTCTAAAATGACTGAGGCGCCTGTCTATCTTACAGCGCCGAATTACAGAATTATCTCTTATTATTGTGAAGGAATTCTTAAATAATTGTTAAATAATTAAGATACGCAAATGTAAATCACATGGCTAATTTATTCCTATTTGGCTTTTTGCTTTTTTCTACGACAACGTTATTGCAATTTGGTGTACATATACCGTAAAATTCCGAAAATAAGCCCTGGGGCTTATATTTTTTAAAGGCCCTTTTGAGGGGCTTATTTTTGGAGGGGCTTATATTCGGAGGGAAATTTGCGTTTCAAAACCGATTGGGTTAGCCTCATAGCTGGAAGTAAATTTACCGGTTTTGCTTTGCTTTACTTTGTATTTGAGAGCAATTTTCCAAGTACAATTTGGAGGGGAGATTTAACGAAGGGTTTTTTGCGTTACCAGTTTGGGGGGGTTATATTTGGAGGGGCTTATTTTCGGAATTTTACATACCTCTTATTAGCCGAGTTTTCGGTCCGTACTGTAAATTACGGACCGAGCTTCGCGCTTGGTAATTTACAGTACGGACCGAAAAAACGAGGCTAATAAGATGTTTATTATATGGCTTCTTCCTGTTTGGGGGACCGGAAACAAGTGTAGGACGCACGATTTGACAGCCATTTGACAGGTGTCAAAAAAGAAAGTTTTTATTGGCGCACGAAAACAATAGCACATAACAAGGGCTTTACGAGAAAGTAAAAACAAATTCGCCATGTTAAGAAAAGTTCATTCAGTCAAAACTAAGAGCACTGTAAGTTTTAGCTCGTTAATGTAATGCTCGAGTATTTTGGAAACCGGACACTGTGTTTGTCTAGAAGTCGTTTCCACGACTTCTTGTCTAGAAGTCGTTTCAATCCCACGTTTGAGACGAAATACGACTTTTTAGAACTCTTTTGCATACTGATTATCGAGTTCTATTTCAAGAAAACGTAATTTTGAAGACAATTTCTCAGCTAAAATAGAAGTAGGTGGATGAATGAAAACAAACATGGCCGCCGCAAGCTACCAACAGCGAATCTTAAGTCCCAAATATAGGCAGACGGGTAAAGTGAAACCGTTAACCGCAAACCGCAGTTTGTTGTTTACAGTAAAATGACCAGACCTCAATCCTAAGGTCTCTATTATCTAAATTTGACCGCCGTCAGACTACAACGAGTACTTTCGACCTAACTTGCATGCAGTGTTTACACCACGTTTGGACTCTTAACTCTTACCTGTAAATTCACATATGTTGAAATTTGTTTCATTATGTAATGATTTACGTAATAGTATCATAGGTGACGAATCACTCCTTAATTTTGGTGCGAAATTTCAGCGTTAATTCGTAATTTCACATGTGAAATTACAAAATGCCATGGCAACCTTCCGTACGTCTCAGTGTCAAGATGTCGACGAAGTTTTAAAATACCGTGAATGAAGATGTCAGGGCACAAAAAGATGCTTTAGAAAACCTGAACACACAAGAGAATATCAAGAAGGATTCTAACAGGTATTTTACCGAAAAAGTCTGAAAAATTCTAAACTTTATAAGCCAAATTTAAGGTCTAAACATTTGAGCGAGTCAGAGTTCTCGATCGATACGATCCAGGATAAACATGTCAAAAATCCAAGATTACTAACGTAATTTGTCACAGGTAATCAAATGGTATACTCGTAAAATTAGGGAATAGTTTCACTTGCGTTTTGTCCAAATCCTAATAATTTCCCGAGCCTTTAGGCTGGGACAAAACACGCGTGAAATTATTCCCTAATTTCACTCGTCACCATTTGATTACACAAACCACAGGGCGCCCACACAATCTGTTTGGGTAGCCGATTGTTATTTTATAGTAAATGTACTGGATTTACCGTTTGCTTCACCTATAGCGATATATCGCTAACTATGTATATAAATCAATGATAAATAAACGTTGAATTACCTTGCCTGTGGTGTATAGTCGTCCTTTTGCCTCAAAAGCGGTTTTTTGAGCGATTTTGAATGAATTTGAGTTCGCCGAAAATCCATCCAAACGGCCCGGAGCTAGCCCTCGAAGAAAATCAAAATCCCACAGTATTCGAGCTACTGGAATGCGTAGCAAGATTCATACGAACCAGCCAAAAACCGTCCCTCTGATTGCCTCTTTTTGATTGGATGTCGTTAAACAACAAACGCTTACCAAGTCTTCTTCATCAGTTATTATTTAACGACATCCAATAAAAAAAAGGCAATCAGCGGGACAGTTTGTGGCTGGCACGTATGAATCTTGCTACGCATTCCAGTAGCTCGAATACTGTGGGATTTTGATTTTCTTCGAGGGCTAGCTCCGGATGGATTTTCGGCGAACTCAAATTCATTCAAAATCGCTCAAAAAACCGCTATAGTCATGCAAATAAAGCTTATGTTCAAATGATGATGTTCAAACTTCTATAATCCACTTCTTCTAAGTGAAACTGACTGGCCTCCTGACTATTATCCAGAGATCGTTTCAGGTAGCAGGACATACTTAAACAACAATTTCACAGAAACTCAGAGTGGCAGTCCTATCGAAAGAGAGTAGGGCACCAGTTTTGCCCCCAAACCGTCAACGTGACGCCCTTTCTTTAACATGTAAAGGGTCATGGAACAAGGCGCGATGGGGAATCCTCCATTGTCGCTGGCAAACCAGAACCCGTCCGTACATAATAGAAAGCGATGCGTCAAGGGAACGCTGGGGTGCCCATTGCAATGGGGTGAGCACAGTTGGCCTATGGAGTCATTCCGAACATTTTCATCACATAAACTGCTTGGAACTGCTGACAGGCTCTTTTGCAATGAAAGGGAAAATAAAAGCTGTCCTTGTTAATAGTTCAACCTCATAAACCTGTTTCGACTTGTACTGTTGGCAGGAAGGTAAGGGATTTGCTACAAGCGACAGGTATTAACAGATTTCAATGTAAGCTTCATTCAGTCCCTAGGGCATCCACCTCTGCTGCTGCAAGGAGTGGGGTGGCTGTTCGCCACTTTGAGGTTGCACGAGAGACCGGGTCGAGATGGTTGTCAAGTGTATTTTGGGACTGTTTTGGGAACAAATTTGCCGCCTTGTTGAAAAGGCGTCCCCAAAAACAGTCCCAAAATGCACTTGCACCCCGTCTCCCGCGCAACCTCAAAGTGGCGAATATCCAACATTTCCGCCAGGCCTTCTGGTCATCTCACTCTACTTTCATGCATTTCTGTTATAGACCTGTGCAGGAGCCGCCTGCGCTTCGCTGATGCAAGTAGGTCAGTTCTATCAGCTCCCGAGGAAAGGAGTAGCCTGCCTTTGAACATGCATTATTACATGGAGTAGAATGTTCAGAAGTATAATGCCAGATTATACAAGGAACCGTAAGTCCTGATGTGCAAGATAGATTAGACGAGGAACGTGAGATGGAATGAAATAATGCAATCTAACCCACGCCCTTTACCCCTCTGTTAAATGTTTTTATTGTTGTTGTTTTTGTTGCTGTTTCTCTTTCTCTTTTTTGCGGCTTTGTTCTCTTTCAGGTTGAGGCTGTTGAACTGGTATTTCCTTGTTTTCCAGCAAAATCACTGTATTTGGAGCAAAATAATCCTGTCAAACGCTCATTTTCAATAACTGGAACAAAAGTGTGTAACCTAATTCCTTCCGACTGAAGAGATACTTCTAAATTCGTTTTTAACAGAAAAATTCCAGGATTTTTATTCTACACTTTTTTGGATAGGAACGACTATATGTTGAAGTCAAATACAACACCCAAGCTCTTCAAAATGTATATGTAACGTATTTAATAGATTTAACTGTTTTTAGCAAACCATTACGCAATGTAGGGTATCTAATTTTTGTTCTCTCCGCAAAGTTATTACATTTAGGTTTTCTTATATTTTCTTTCTTGTCCTCTTCGCCTCCGGCCACGATTAGCTTAAGCTCACGGCGGGTTGCATGAAAAATTTCCTTTCTCCTTTTTAGTTCACTGTAATTTATTACTNACTGTTTTGGGAACAAATTTGCCGCCTTGTTGAAAAGGCGTCCCCAAAAACAGTCCCACAATGCACTTGCACCCCGTCTCCCGCGCAACCTCAAAGTGGCGAATATCCAACATTTCCGCCAGGCCTTCTGGTCATCTCACTCTACTTTCATGCATTTCTGTTATAGACCTGTGCAGGAGCCGCCTGCGCTTCGCTGATGCAAGTAGGTCAGTTCTATCAGCTCCCGAGGAAAGGAGTAGCCTGCCTTTGAACATGAATTATTACATGGAGTAGAATGTTCAGAAGTATAATGCCAGATTATACAAGGAACCGTAAGTCCTGATGTGCAAGATAGATTAGACGAGGAACGTGAGATGGAATGAAATAATGCAATCTAACCCACGCCCTTTACCCCTCTGTTTAATGTTTTTATTGTTGTTGTTTTTGTTGCTGTTTCTCTTTCTCTTTTTTGCGGCTTTGTTCTCTTTCAGGTTGAGGCTGTTGAACTGGTATTTCCTTGTTTTCCAGCAAAATCACTGTATTTGGAGCAAAATAATCCTGTCAAACGCTCATTTTCAATAACTGGAACAAAAGTGTGTAACCTAATTCCTTCCGACTGAAGAGATACTTCTAAATTCGTTTTTAACAGAAAAATTCCAGGATTTTTATTCTACACTTTTTTGGATAGGAACGACTATATGTTGAAGTCAAATACAACACCCAAGCTCTTCAAAATGTATATGTAACGTATTTAATAGATTTAACTGTTTTTAGCAAACCATTACGCAATGTAGGGTATCTAATTTTTGTTCTCTCCGCAAAGTTATTACATTTAGGTTTTCTTATATTTTCTTTCTTGTCCTCTTCGCCTCCGGCCACGATTAGCTTAAGCTCACGGCGGGTTGCATGAAAAATTTCCTTTCTCCTTTTTAGTTCACTGTAATTTATTACTTGTAAACTGTTCAATGTGTAATAAAGGTGGTGTTGTTGTTATAAGGATGGCATTGCATTGTTACCGTCGGTTTTATGTTTCTCGTATAATCGATCTTATACCCCAGGACAAATGGTGTCGAGTGAATTATTCTGCGCCTGTGTAAAGATAGGGCGATATAAGGGATTCGCTGATTGGAGAAATGGACCGGTGTGAGGTTATCCTAATCTTTTTTGTGCATTCTTTTTCCGGAAAGAAACAGAAAATTGAGCAAATGAATATGATAATTGCTCGAGTACAAGGTTTATTGTGATTAAAATTCCTGTCACAGTAAGAGCCCTAATTCTTAAGCACACCAGCAACTAAAACTATGAATAGAATTTACCACTACTGCTACAGTATTTCGTTCATTATTTCTTTACTGCTCCGAACCCCTTTTGTGAGCTTAGAAGGTACAAGGACATCCTGCTGGAATCCGTAAACGTACGTTGCCTTTTATTCCATATAAGAAATCATACCACTTGTAAACATTTCCTTCCCCTGTCAAGCAGCATTTTGACAATTCATTGATGGTAGAACCTGGTAACACATACGACCACACATTAACATTTGCCAGTCTCCCAACAAACGACTGTGTTGAGTCGAAACCTCCGCCGACATCGTCCTGCTCTTGCCCAAGCACCAGGGAACCCTCAGCATGTATGGTGTAACCTTTCTTGAAGTCTACACCTGATTTCACAAACACTCCATCTTTGTAGCTTTTCCATTCGCCCTTACTGTTTTCCCAAGTCACACATATCTGATGCCATTTGTTATCGTCTGCAGCTATGCCCACTGACCTGGGACAAAGATAAGGCGACATTCTTATGATCAGTGACATTGCACCCCAAGATAAAGTTTACAACTAAATGGCAAACGGTAAAAAAAATCAGAAATAAAATACAAATATACAAATATGCGAAAATATGGAAAAAGAATTTTAAAAAAATGAAATAAAAAAATAAATAAGTAATAATAATAATAATAATAATAATAATAATAATAATAATAATAATAATAATAATAATAATAATAATAATAATAACCGCCGCCTGGTTAGCTCAGTTGGGAGAGCGCCGGTCTATCGAGCGGGAGGTCGCGGGTTCAAACCAAACCCAGCAGGACCAACACCCAGGCTCTTTAAATAACTGAGAAGAAAGTGCTGCCTCCGTAATGACATCTGCAAATGGTTATACTAATTTCTAGTCTTCTCGGATAAAGACGAAAAACCGTAGGTTCCGTCTCACAGCACTTTCACTCATTTGTTCTTGTGGGACGTAAATGAGCCCGCATCACTATTCGAAAAGAGGACGCATCACTATTCGAAAGGAGGTGGAGGACCCGGTGGTGTGGCCAACCTTAACGGGTTGTGGGATTGGGTAGGGATGGCACCTCGCATGGGACCTAAGTCCCTTTCGTGCACATTCCCTTTGGGTTGGCCTGTGTCCAGGTGTCCAGAAAAGCAACTAAATAAATAGAATAGATAAATAGACAATTTACAGTAACTAAGGCCGAAAAGGATTGGTCGGCAGAATTTAAACGTTATGCAAGAATTGGCACTGCTTTCCCCTTCCGACGTAGCCAAGTGTTTTAGACCCATAACCCTACCAGCGAGTTAATTGAACGGCGCAAACAATTCCTTCTGACGTTAATTCTCCTTTTTTTTTTACTTTAAAACAATTAGAAGTAAAATTCGGGCGTGTCTGCAATGGAAATGCATTGTGTCCCTCTCTTAGTGCCTCAAACTAACAAGTTGTATAAATGGCTATGGACCATATATGCGATGGGCCTTTACCCCACCAGGCAATAAACGCTGCATTGCTAGACGAAAAATGTGGTGCTCTTTCGAGTAAATACAGTATTGCCTACTTACCTTCTGTCATTACCAATATACAGGTGAACATCATCGGGATCGAAAACAATCAACTCATTGTTTAGAGATTTCGTTGGCGCATAGCTGAATGGTGCTGAGTTTCCTGTTGCTGTCTTCATCCACAAACAAATCGTAAATTGTGTTAAACTGCGCATGCCCCAGATATTCACATAATCGGTAACGCCTTGCTTAGGGAACTCCAGGGAGTAATCTAGAGCACAACAAACACAGACAATAGGCTATTTCCGAGATGCCCCAAGCCTCTCTTTCAAAGCGAGGCTAAGTGCGTAGCAGAAACTATTGATATGAAAATGGTGTTTCATTCTTTTGCAAATCTCATTTTTACAGGAAATGTTTGGCACTTAGCCTCGTTTTGATAGTGAGAGTTCTTGAGTTAGGAAAAGGTATAAACCTGCAAATACGATCCTTGAACATAATAACCTGTTTGACTAAATTGAACAGTTACACTCCACATATAAGTTGTAGTTAATTTTTTATCACAGGTATTTTTTTCTTTTACTTTTGTTTCAACTTCATTCGCATACATTACCATACCCAAAGACAAAAGAAAAACAAAAATTACCCGAGATAAAAAACAAAAAAACAAAACAAAACAAAATAAATCTGAAAACTAAAACATACTCGCTGAAGAATTTGTTTGGTATGACATTTGATACATGTTCCTATATTTTCTTTTAAATCAAGTTCATGCACATCATGTTCTCAAGGCAACGATAATTTTTTCTTATTTCTGTCAGTCGGACATAAAATACTTAATTGGTATGAAAATTGTATAATTGACAGGAGGCTGTCGACATTTACACCTTATTCGCTAATGTTAAGTTTCAAAGTGATAAAGGACGCGCAATCATAATAATAAAACGAACCAGAGAGCCGTGACAGAGCCCCTACAAAGGGACTGGTGTGGAAAAAGCCTGAGAATGTTGTCAACATACCTTCCTGGCCCTTTACATAACAGCTGATGAAAGCAACAAAAATGAAAGCAGTCACCCGAAGCATGGCAAAAGTTTGGTCACCTACAAATGAGAAGGCAATTTCAATCAATGAATATTAATATTACTACCACTTTCGAGCTTCCGTGAAAGCATTCCTGTTTGTCTAGACAATCCTTCGCGTTGGTCAGCCTGCGAAAATGTCGGGTTTTTACAGGTCTGTGTTTGTTTCTAGTTCTGTGCGCCAAACACGGCGGTTCTAAAAACAATGCGTCGGCGTTTTATTTTTGCGATGACGTAAAAAAAATCCTCAGACAGCAACCTTCGATTGTTTATTTCATCCAAGTACTTAAAGCATCCAGCGAACTGTTTTTTAACGACAGTCTACATATTTGTTTTGCAAGTTGTTCATTGTGCTGAGACTAAAGTCCACAGAACTCTTCTGAGTTTTGTTGATTTAGTTTTGTCAATAAGAGAAATATTCCATTACGATTTCGATGTTACTGTGAAAAAAATTTTAAACAATGAATTTTGAGTTCATTAAAACAGTAAATCTTTTGAGTGGGAAATATACGTATTCCTTTGTTACTTAAGTGTTTATCTACCGTGTATGAAAAGCGAAAGAAAACACAAAAATTGATTTGAAATAAAAGATGGGGCATAATTTAAGGCAATTCATTTTAAATAAGTTCAAAGGCGAAAAAATAAAGGAAGAATGTATATTTTCAACACTGTGGGCCTCTTTGTCATCTCAACGTGTGTTCACCAAACTTCTTTCTTGTAAGCAGAAAAAAGCCGTTCTCTCTGAATTTTCACACACGTTTTCAAATAGAATAAAATTGCATTTTCAACGCTCTTTATTTACTGTAGATGATACCCAATTACCATGCTATATAACAGCTGTTCCTGTATTTCTAACCTCCAAAACAAGAACCTGAAATATCTCGATAACATTGTTAAAGAATTTCTTCAAGCTTCGACGGTAACTATTTGGCTAGAAGAGATAAAGCTTCTGTGACTACTTTGGAAAAAATGTCAAGGCAGAAAATTAAAACCGCTACTTCATTATCACACTAGTCATGACAATTTTCATCTTAAACAAATACAGCTGTTGGGACCATTTTTCAATTACTGAGGTTTTAAACCGTTCGTGATTTTATCCCAATATCTTGTTATTGCCCAAAATAATTAACCAATCCAGTCTCCTTGATGGGAGTCGGATGAAGAAAGATAGCAGAAAATTCGAAAAACAACTTGAGAATAAATTTATTTCTCACTACCAGGGTAAATAGTCCTACCCCATTATTGCAACGCTCCAAAACATCTACAATTGGTTTCATCGTATAAAAATTGAAAACATCAAACAAATATTCCTTCAAAATGCTCTCATAACAAACATTTTGTTACGAAAATATTCCATAAAACCTATCGATGGAAAAGTTTTGTTTTCTTTGCCTCTTCACTGTTCTTTGCATGCAATCCACCTTTTATTGCGTTCACCAAGTACAAGCGGAATATTGAAAAAAAAAAAAGAAAAAGATATCTCAAACTAAATGCAGTTAGTATATACACACTCACTGATCTTAGGGTTTAAAACAATCTGATTTGCTTCTATCTCGAACTATTGAACAATATTCACTTCCTAGCAATGGATAATGCGTCGAAGGTAAGAGAAGTCTTAAAAGAATTCGAAACATAATCGTTTTTCGTTTACTTAAGCTGAATTTTTTGTTCGATGTAATGTTAACAACTACTGCTTATTCGAAAATAGGCCATTTTTTTAACCTAACATTTCCGAACAAGAAAACAAAATTGCCCAAAAATATTTTAAAACGTAAAATTCTGCAGAAATTTACCATAACTAGCGTTTGGATCTTTTTTGGTTTTTAGTTGGATATTGTAGGTATACCGAGTTAAACTGAATTATGCGAGGCGAAAGAAAAGGAACGAAGTTTACTCACAAACCAAGCAAGAGAAATTCACGAACGGCAAAATAGCCAGCAAAATCTGATCACAGTCAAAAAAGTAACATTAAGTTTTTACATTTTCCGAATAAGTAACATTTACCTCAAACTCTTGGTTTAAATCCCTTCTTCAGCAGAACAGAGTAGCAAATGTAAATGATGCACTGAAGAGCAAGTGTGCAATATTTGTAGTTTGTGACTTCAAAGGGCGTTTCCAATAATCTATCGTATCTTAAGGTGGCTCGATACAGTTTTTCAGGGCCAATACCTCCCAAGTTTGAGCATAAACTACGTCGCCATAAACAAAGTTTTGGAAAAATTGCCACCACAGTTGTATTAGATGAAGATGAAAATTTGTTATGATCAGGGTTGCAACGGCATCGGAGTTGTGATAGCAACGAAATGAGTACACTATCGCAGCTATCGGGAAATTACTTTAATCCCAAAGAGCTGCAATCTTTTAAAGAACATTGCTGTCAGAAGTACATTCCAGTGCATTGTCCATGGAGATAATTGTGTGAATCTGCGCTAATGTGTTTTGCAATATGTTATTTATTGATTCCCCTCACTTGTTTTTTGTATGCATGTCAGGTCCAAATGGAAAATAGAAATTTTAAAAGTTACACAGAGCAAGACCTGGTGAATAAGGGGCCGATCGTTTATTAGGTCCCGGGGGGGGTGGGGTGGTACAATTTTTGAAAAGGGTTAATTTTGGGGGGTCCATTTTGAAAATGTACAAAGTGTGAGGGGGGTCGAAATTTTAAGACACAGGATTGACATTATAACTTGTAGTTGTTAAGACATATCATAGTTGAAACAAAAACAAAAAACACTTTTCCTTCATTAGTAAACCAAAAAGTCGCGCTGACGACTCTGTCGGCTACAACATTCTACCCGCACAGAATTATTGTGCCCACTGTATTTATGATCACAGATCACGCCCTCGCCTTCGTGGCAGCCTGGTTGCTCAGCGGGTCAAAATGGCAGCTTTTGAAAGTGAAGAGGTCATAAATATGGATGAAGAAATCGAAAAAAGAATTGAAGACAATATTTTGCATAGTGGTTTGCGTGCCTGGCTGAAAGAAATTAACTTACTGGAGTATTAAGGGAAGTTTTTAGAGAATGGGTGCGATGACCTGGACCAGTTATGATCAACGACAGGGGAAGATTTGGCTGAAGTTACCAGTGATGTCGGTTTAGTCGAAAAGAAGGGCTATCTGAAACGATTTTATGCAGGCGTTGAAAAACTTAAAAACTGCGAAAAAATGCACTGCTGCTCTAGATTGTACAGAAAGCGTCCCAGGTATTAAAATAGAATATGGTATAGTAAGCTTTCATAAATTGTAATAAAACTCTAATCTCTTACTAATCGAGTCATCTTAAAACTTGGTCTGGGAAAGGTGGGGGTACATTTTAAAAACTCTGATCGCCAAGGGAGGGGGGGGGGTACAATTTTCATATGAAATTATTTTAGGGGGGTACAGTTTTCATACACCACACTTTTCTGAGATATTGCGCATTTGGCGAACAAGAGTTCGACTAAATCGCCGTCATCCTTAATTGATATCACTTTACCATCCATTTCATCGACTGCGGGCAGCGAAACGTTCGAAGCAACTGCTGAGGCTGAATTATCATCTACTCGGCCCCCATCTACTCTTTATTCAAACGGAGTTAAATCGTGTAACGGCTGTGTCTGCCTGATAGGAAGCCATTAAGAAGATGGAAAACAAACTGTCAAATTTTGAAAAACGTTTGGATGAACTAGACTCAAAATTTGCATCGAACTCAAATGCAAATCAGACTGCAGAAGTCACAGTGCGTGAAAACGACAAGAATGCAATCAGCAGTGAACAGGTTATTATCCAAGAAATTAGGCAATCCGAGGCAAGAATAGTACAGAGTCTCCGCAACCTTGAATGTCGGCCTGGTGAAGTTGTTCAAGAAGTTTTAAAACCATCTGTACATGAAGAAGCCCATCAAGTAGAAAACCAAGATGTTGAAACCTACGAATCCACAAGTGTTAATGGCAATCATGAAGCCAGCGTTAAAAGTCTCGAGGGAGAGTGGAATGAAGTAAGGAACCATTAAAGCCGATTCAAGAAATTGATACACTTATTGTTGGGCGATTCAATCATCAAAGATATCAAACCTAGTTTGATGTCAGCTTCAAATACGATTAGGAAGCAATGCCTCCGTGGTGCAAAAGTTGAAGAATGCACATCTAAAGTCGATTTTAGTGCTTAAAAATGTAAGAAGGCTGTTGTTATTCACCTTGGTACGAATAACATAACGACCAACGACTCGCCAAAGACCATTGCAAGTAAATAAGCTGAAGTGGGAAAAACCATTCAACGCAGTACTGAAGCCCCAAGGATTATCATTTCCGGCATCATTTCCAGGCAAGACACGAGGGTAGGCTCTAAAATAGCTGATACAAACTGTGAAATTAAATCCATGTGTGTACAAATGAAATGGAAATTTGTAAACAATGACCGACTAAATGAGTCGTGTCTGAATGGTAGCAAACTGCACTTAAATAGCAAGGGCTCTGCTTACCTAGCTACTAACTTCCTTAAGGCGTTAAATACTAGTAAGCAAAACATCAAAGAGACCAGTTGGACCAAGGACAACCATCAAAATTTTCGGAAGACCAAAGCTCTTCTTACCTCCTTAATACAAGGCCTTCTATAAATGATATAAATAATTCCGCTACAAATTCCCATATTGAACTAGATAATGATACCCAAGTTCATCCAAAAACTCCGACAGATTCACCTAATAGATTTTCAAGTAGCGCACACGTGCAGCCAAATTTGGGTATTCCAGTAACTAGATGATTTAAAATTGCTTCTATTAATTTGGCCAACTTGTATAAAAATATTGACCAGCTTAGGATCTATATGCTGTCCAAGACAGATGATATACTAGCTATTAATGAGACTCGTCTTGACAGCTCTATTCAAAATGGTGAGGTCAGTATCCCTTGATATACCCTTGAAAGGAAAGATAGAAATAGAAATGGGGGTGGTGTGGCCCTCTATATTGGGGACTCAATAAATTATAAGCCTCTCATTGACCTCCCGGATGATAACATGGAACTGATCAGTATCCAAGTGTTGAAACCGAAAGCAAAACCATTTATTGTGTGCACTTGGTATAGGCCTCCAGGGTCCACCACTGAATTGATGAACAGATTTGAAGATGTATTGCAAAAATTGGACTCATATCATGTGGAGGTTGACATTATCGGTGACCTAAATTGTAATGTTGGTGCAACATCACCAGATTGCAGCACACAAAAACTACTAGATATCTGTGATAGTTACCAGTATAGGCAATTAATTGATCAGCCAACACGTATAACACAGCTCACATCATCTCTTATTGATTTGTTTTTAACTAATCATCCGTGGAATTTTTCGGACTCTAGAGTCACCGATATCGGAATTAGTGATCACTGTCTGGTGTATGCAATAAGAAAGATTTGTATCCCCAAATCAAATCCAAAGACTGTAACGAGCAGATGCTTTAAAAATTTTATTCCAGATAGTTTTCGAACTGATTTATCTATGGTACCGTGGCATCTTATTGAACAGGAGCATAATCCTGACATTGCTTGGGATATATGGCAACATATGTTCTTAGACATTGCTGATAACCATGCACCACTAAAGAAGAAGAGCGTGAAAGGAATCTCTTCCCCCTGGATTACTCCAGAGCTAAAAAGGCTAATGTTTCAGAGAGACAAACTAAAAAAATTAGCCTCAAGGTTCCCAACAGATGGCAATTGGACTTCTTACAAACAAATGAAGAATAAGGTTAATTATGAAATTAAGAACGTAAAATGAACTATCACAACGCCTTCTTCAAAGATAATCGCAGAAACATAAAGAATACTAGGAAAGGAATTCATAGACTAATTGGAAATGAACCTAAATTTAATAAGATAACTCAGCTGGACACTGGGGATACTGTGAGTACTGACCCCATCGAAATCAGTAATATACTCAACACACATTTTCCCAAAATAGGACCTTCCTTAGCCTCTGAAATTAAAGATACATCCAGTAATTTTACTGATTATATTACCCCCGCAGAACACATTATTAATTTGGCGAAAGTATCATGCCACGAGGTCTTCAATTTAATTCAGAAAATACCGAGTAATAAAGCCAGTGGTCTTGATAACATCTCAGCACGTCTCCTGAAAGAAGCGTCTCCCATAGTTGCTCGCAGTCTAACTTTTATAATAAATCAGTCAATTACCACTGGAATATTTCCAAATGCTTGGAAACGAGCTAGAGTTTCGCCAATATTTAAAGAAGACCTCAGGACTATACTTTCGCCCTGACAGCAATGAAGCTTTTAAAGAGTCGCCTTCGGTTGATCCTAAGGTGTCGGATACAAAGGGGTCGGATACAAAGGCGGACACAAAGCAAAACAAAGGATCATCTAAATCTCTATCTAGTACGGACCGAAAAAACGAGGCTAATAAGATGTTTATTATATGGCTTCTTCCTGTTTGGGGGACCGGAAACAAGTGTAGGACGCACGATTTGACAGCCATTTGACAGGTGTCAAAAAAGAAAGTTTTTATTGGCGCACGAAAACAATAGCACATAACAAGGGCTTTACGAGAAAGTAAAAACAAATTCGCCATGTTAAGAAAAGTTCATTCAGTCAAAACTAAGAGCACTGTAAGTTTTAGCTCGTTAATGTAATGCTCGAGTATTTTGGAAACCGGACACTGTGTTTGTCTAGAAGTCGTTTCCACGACTTCTTGTCTAGAAGTCGTTTCAATCCCACGTTTGAGACGAAATACGACTTTTTAGAACTCTTTTGCATACTGATTATCGAGTTCTATTTCAAGAAAACGTAATTTTGAAGACAATTTCTCAGCTAAAATAGAAGTAGGTGGATGAATGAAAACAAACATGGCCGCCGCAAGCTACCAACAGCGAATCTTAAGTCCCAAATATAGGCAGACGGGTAAAGTGAAACCGTTAACCGCAAACCGCAGTTTGTTGTTTACAGTAAAATGACCAGACCTCAATCCTAAGGTCTCTATTATCTAAATTTGACCGCCGTCAGACTACAACGAGTACTTTCGACCTAACTTGCATGCAGTGTTTACACCACGTTTGGACTCTTAACTCTTACCTGTAAATTCACATATGTTGAAATTTGTTTCATTATGTAATGATTTACGTAATAGTATCATAGGTGACGAATCACTCCTTAATTTTGGTGCGAAATTTCAGCGTTAATTCGTAATTTCACATGTGAAATTACAAAATGCCATGGCAACCTTCCGTACGTCTCAGTGTCAAGATGTCGACGAAGTTTTAAAATACCGTGAATGAAGATGTCAGGGCACAAAAAGATGCTTTAGAAAACCTGAACACACAAGAGAATATCAAGAAGGATTCTAACAGGTATTTTACCGAAAAAGTCTGAAAAATTCTAAACTTTATAAGCCAAATTTAAGGTCTAAACATTTGAGCGAGTCAGAGTTCTCGATCGATACGATCCAGGATAAACATGTCAAAAATCCAAGATTACTAACGTAATTTGTCACAGGTAATCAAATGGTATACTCGTAAAATTAGGGAATAGTTTCACTTGCGTTTTGTCCAAATCCTAATAATTTCCCGAGCCTTTAGGCTGGGACAAAACACGCGTGAAATTATTCCCTAATTTCACTCGTCACCATTTGATTACACAAACCACAGGGCGCCCACACAATCTGTTTGGGTAGCCGATTGTTATTTTATAGTAAATGTACTGGATTTACCGTTTGCTTCACCTATAGCGATATATCGCTAACTATGTATATAAATCAATGATAAATAAAC